CTGAGTCGACTCAAAACTCAAATGTCACCTTTTGAGTCGACTCAAAAGTCAAAAGTCACCTTTTGAGTCGACTCAAAAGTCAAAAGTCACCTTTTGAGTCGACTCAAAAGTCAAAAGTCACCTTTTGAGTCGACTCAAAAGTCACCGAGAGTGAACCTAATGCAGTGCGTTCCTCCTCACACGCTTCTTCCAGATGACTAATATCAGCCTCTTGTGCGATCCCTTCCCTGCTGCCATGCTTGCAGATTTCAGTGGCTGTCACTGACACGCGGCCGTTCTCTTGCTTTACATGTCCAGCCAAGAGAAGCTTTCTAGGCACCTAATAAATATTCTCCTTTCCTCCCATTCCCACTGATTGGTCGACTCGCAGATTTGTGCGGCTGGCACTGACACGCGGCCTTTCTCTGGCTTTATATGTGCGACCAAGAGACCATACAGTGTGAAGCACGGAGATACATGCGGCATGTTGATCGCCAAGAAGTATCGACGCAGCGCGGATGTGTTTAGGGACCTTAACAACGGATAAGATTGTACAGTGAGTAGGTTATATGCTGGCATGTTGCTTTGTTTTCCTTGATTAAAGTACTTATCGTATATCGTAATTGCTTGCGTGTTCAAACAGCTGATTATTCTTGTAAGGTGCCCACCTACGGTAGTTGCACAACACACTTCAAACCCTGAACTTCGACAACTCCTCGTACGCGAAATTCCGATATAAACACTTTCAACACTAATTACCTGCTCCAATCTACCGTAACATGAACGCTTTGAGCACCGTCAAGAGCATCAACATACGGTAAGCCATCCAAAAGAAGCCAAAGCTAGCAGCTGATTACATCTTTTTCTTCATCTTCCCACAGAGTGCATGTACAGTCGCTCCCCCAGCCCCCGTGTAACCAACCTGATAGTAGTTGCCAAAAGCCAGCCACGTCAGCAGATACCGACGCGCGTCAGCCAGAGGCGATGGCCCTGAAAGCACCTTGCCTATGAAGCTGTAGCGCTTCGCACGGCCTTCCTTGTCAGTAGTGATGTTTTTCCAATTGATCAAATCGTCAGACGGAGTAGCAGTGCAGGAAGAGGAGTATGCACCAAGCACATTGCGCTGCGGTACTTCTTCGTCAAGGACGAAGTGGACAAAGGCAAGGTTGACTTGACCTATTGCCCGACCGGTGACATGGCAGCAGACTTTCTCACGAAGCGACTGCCACGCCAGCAGTATCAGCACTGCTCCGAACTCAGCGGAGTAGTCAAGCAGGTCAAGTCGAGCTACGACCAGGAGTGAAGGGGGGTGTTACGAATAGTAATGAATGAAACATTACTGTGCACTCCTAACCGCAGTAAAGGGAAGCACGCAGTATCGAGAATGAATGCGAGGAGTCAGAATTGGCTCGAAGCGACACAGCCGGTTGGAATGAATCTGGACCGTCGGAGTAGACGGCATCGGGCAGCCACAGGCACGAGGGAATTGGCGCGAACAGTTTTCGTAACCGTTCGCGCCGCACGGTTGGTTTGAATTCGAATAAGGGAATGTACCCCTTAGAGTACATGGCTAGCTAGGACGTTTCGAATTCCCCTGTACTACTATTTATACCTTTGAATTTGCATGTTTCAATCATCTCAAGCATTTTACATTCACTCTGCTATTGAGGTCAAGGGCCCACCACTACCAACCACTCAAGCGAACCTTCCCGAGGTGATCCTAGGGTCGATCCCCTTCTGATCGCAACAGTCGTGACTCCGGATCGGTGAACTTCGTCGCCGAAGGCCGTCGCGAAAAAAATACGAAATCGTTGGAGTTCGTCAGCGACACTTGGCGAGAGGGGTGGATCACGTAACTGACCGAATGTCAGTCTTGAAAACTCTATCAGAAACTCGAACTTAGGTGCGTATGACGTCAGTACCCTCGCCTGCTTTGTCGGGACTCGCCGAGGACTTTGTCGCTTTTCTCCGAAAACTCCCGGGCAGAGGCGAAAAACAGCTGCTGCTCTTTCCCCCTGACCATGCAAATATTTTTTCAAAGTTGAACTCGAACTGCTGATGACGTCAGCTGCACTGTCGGCGTTGTCGTGACTCGCCGAGAACCTCAGGGCAGGGGCGAAACAGCTGTCGCCTTCTCTCCCCCCCTGCAACAAAATATCCCCCGGTGTTGTTGCTGGTACCCCTGAACAGCTTCCAAGTTGTACTGCTACACTTTTAACGACGAGTGCTTTCGCGCGCTTAACCAAGCACCGCTGCAACTCCGCCGTTGGCACGGATACTGTCAGCGACCCCGCTGACTCCGTTAAGACTCACTCTCGGAACTGTCGTTGCACTCGCAAATGTCAGAAATAAACCCACCGCGTAAATATTGGTCGTCTGCAGGTTGTCCCCTGGAAGAACCGGTGTTTCTAGCACGCCCACCCGGTCACCATTTTTTTCGTGCGGTTAACCATCCAAGCAACCCACCAACAGGAGGTTCTTGTCAAGGGCGAGAAAGTGGTCCCTGACTGCGCGAAGAGAGTCAGGGAGGCGGGTGATGAGGAAGTAGAGAGTGATGTACATGGGGGGTGGGTTCTTGTCGAGAAACTCAGATTTAAGCGCGGCGCGGTAGCGAGTGTCGCTAGTGCGAAGGTGGGTGATGAGGTCGTCGACAGTGGAAAAGTCTGACAGCTCAGGAAAGAGGTAGAGCAATATGAGTCGGCCTAGAGCAGCAGTGGCAGGGGAGGAGTAACGAGCGAATACAATGTCAAACAGTGCTTTAGCAGTCTTGTGCTGGCCAAAGTGCGCGCGTTCGGCTAACGGCAGGTGGTTGCGAACGGCGAGGCGAGCAGTAGCGTCGCGAGTAAGCCACTGTGAGCGAGTCGCACTGTCAGCTGTCTCGGGAGGAGCAAGAGAGGTCCCAGACGTGTGGTCAAACAAGGAGACGCCGTCCCTAGACTCGCTCTGTAGGTACAGCTGTAAGTCGTCTAGCCAGGTCTCAAACTGGATCGGACGGCCCTCAGAATCGAAGGTGAGAAGCAGCAATTACCAAACTAGCAGACACAAAGAGCCGGCATTCACACCCTTGCTGCTGTATGCGGTTGCAGGCATTCACACCCTTGTTGTTGTAGTGGTTTCCGACTTTTGGGACGTCTCAAAAGTCGGGCATTCACACCCCTGTTGTATGTGGTCTCCGACTTTAGAGACGCCTCAGAAGTCGGGCATTCACACCCTTGCAGCTGTATGTGGTTTCCGAGACTTCTACAAAATCAGCGACCGAGCATCCACAACCTTGTGGAAATAGTGAATGCCAACATGAAGATCCTTAAAGCCCCCTAAAAAGAGGGGTTACCCTGAGATTCTGTCATCGCTGCAGCTCCAGTTACCAACACAAAGGGCACACCTGCATGTTGGGGCTAGAATAGGTGTAGGGTTGTTAGTTGTGGTTGAAGCTAGGTTGCGTTCCCAGCAATTATTGGTCCTTCAGTAATGTTGATTCAAATCCTTCCAACAATTATTGGAGCCCCAATAATGCTGGTCCAACCGCCAACAATTAATGGGGCCTCAAAGAATCAAATGGTCAAGCTCATCTATCCACCGTTCTCTCACCTATGTATACCTCGGCTCATTCAAGCTTAAGTCGATACCATCTGTTCCTTTTAAAGCCTTTGTGCCAAGGAGTTCCCAACAACTAATGGACCTCCAATAATGTTGGTTCAAACTCACTCAACAATGATTGGAGCCTCGATAATGTTAGTACTACAACCAAACCAACAAATATTAGGGTCGCCATTCTCTCCACGCATCCGTGGCTCGTTCGAGCCTTTGTCAATGTTATGTATTTGGTTTTTTTTTTTTTTTTTTTCCCACGAAGACATATATTTAACTACAAACAATCACCTGCACTCATCTGCACCCACCTGCACTCATCTGCACCGATGCTCACCTGGCCGGGCCTGGGCCCATCGGAGCAGGTGAGGGCGGGGTTGAGCGGCTGTATCTGCGTGGAGAAGAGGGCGTTGAGGGAGTCACACGTGTCACCCTGCACACACACAGGGACCAGGAACGGGGGGGAGGGGGAGGGGGGGGAATGGGGAGAGTAAGGTTTGATGCACAAGTCACCTTGCTTGCCTGCACACACGGAGGGAGAGGGGGAATTAAGGGAGTGGGCAGATGGAGGGAGTGGGACATGCAAACAGAGGTGGCGATTCAGAGTGAGCAGTGAAGGGGTGTTAGCTATTTTAGGTTTACATTAGACATGAGCATTGCGAATCAGTTTCGACCATTGGTCGAACCAAACATATTTTTACAGAAAAAAAAGTCCTAATCTAGTTTAGGTTCGGTCAAACTTTCGTTTGAACCTTTATAGTTTGCTCGCTCGCATACCGTCAAAGTAATTGGCGGCTAACATCTGATAATGAAATGCCAGATTTGATAGTGAAATGCCAGATCTGACAGTGAAATGCCAGATCTGACGGAAAAAATTTGACTCTTTTTCGCATTCAAACTGGGTCATGTAACAAGAAGGGAAGCAGTTTCGTTTCGAGAATGTATAGCGAAACAGTGGGAATAGGCGAATTAATTGGAGGAAGCTATCACTGTTCCTCCCGCTGAGGATGAGTCTAGAGGGAGTAAGAACAAGCCCCCGATGCCTAGTCAAAAACAAGAATTATTCAAAAGTACCTTTGATTGTCTGTCAACTGCGAATCCAATTGCAACGGGGGGCGATTGTGGGTGTTATTGGTGAAACTTCGCAAATCGCCGCAAGCGATCATAGCAGCAACCAGCGCGTTGATCGTTGGCAATGTTCCACGCCCTTGACCAGGCAAAAAAAGTTCGGTCAAACCGGTTCGATTTCAGTTCATGCTCATGTCTAGCTTACATAAGTGCACATGCACTTATCTAAGCGCACTAGCGCTCACATGAACGCACTAGCGCTTGAATAAACACACAAGCAAATATGTAAAGACAACACCACTTATACAATTACTAGTGTATGTACATGGACGTGCATGGCGTGTGATAAATGCACTGTCGCTTACATAATTAGCAGTGTACATGGAAGTGCACTGGGAAAAGGCCCGGCTGGTGACGTTAACCAGAGTGTCTACTGGGATGGGCGCCCGGCATTGAAACCCCTGCGGTCAGATCAGGGAGACAGGGACGATATGATTTGGCAACACAAGGAGGCAAGGAGGTTTGGATTAGTGGAAGAAGGAGAGATGGAGGATTGGCTTTGTTCGAGCAAGGAGAGATAGAGGATTGTATTGGTTGGAACATGGGTAGTCTACAGAAGAGGAGACCTCAGATGAAGGCAAGATGGGGAAGGGGTATAGGTTTGGAAGCTCTGAGGAAAGAAAAACGAGAGATCAAAACGAGGCGGACCGAATGGGTGGTTGGGAGAATGAGGGGAAACTGAGGGGCACAGAGGGGGATTGAGGAGCAGCGAGGAGCCATGAGGGCCAGGTGACCAGAAAAAAGGGGGCAGTATAATAATTGCATTGCGGTTACATGATGTCTTGCAATGCAATGCGACGTGACCTGTAAGTAATTGATAGAATTCAAGAATGGTTGAGTAATGAGCCAAGGAGGCTCTATAGTACAAGCATGCAAGGAAGAGAGGTTGGAAGAAGGTGCAACCCTATTGGCCACTAAGTTGGCCAATGGGTGAGTTGCCTTGTGGAGTAGGGAACCCCACAATGTTGCTAGCTTGTGATTGGTTGGCCTTAGGACCAAATGTTGGCAAGTGCCAACCAAGGACCAAGACCAAACCAAATCTTGACCCAACCACAAAGTGTGGTTGGAGTGTACACCCAACCCCCCAATGGCTTAAAGAGCTACACCTATTCTAGCCTATGTATGTTGTATATATAAGATACATTTACAACACAACCCCCCAACATGCATAAGGCTAGAAAAAATGTAATCAGGAGGCCGCCAAAACTGGTGGCGGGGTGAGCCCAAGGAGACGCAACAGGAAGGAGTGGGACGCTAGGGGAAGAGCTTTGGTGAAGATGTCGGCGAGGTTGGCTGCCGAGTCGATTTTGCCAAGACGAATGTGGCCGGCCTCAACGAGATCGCGAATGAAGAAGTAGCGAAGCTCAATATGTTTTGAGCGCCCATGATACACAGCGTCCTTGGTGAGGTGGATGGTGCTGGCGTTGTCACACCAGATGGTGGGACAGCGTTGGGGGGCTCCGAGCTCATCAAGGAGGAAGGTGAGCCAGCGTGCTTCTTGCGCGGCCATGGTCGCAGCATAGAGCTCTGCTTCGCAGGAGGAGAGGGCGACGGCAGAGGAGCGTGTGGACCGCCAGCTGATGAGACCGCTGCCGAGGGAGAAGCCATAGCCCTGAGAGGACCGCCGATCCGGTCGAGAATCAGCCCAGGAAGAGTCGCTGTAGCCGTTGAGGTGTGGTGGGGAAGGGCCGCCAAGAGTGAGGACATAGTCCTTGGTGCCACGAATGTAGCGAAGGACACGCTTGGCGGCCTGCCAGTGCTCTTCCGTGTGCTTGCCAGCGCCAACGAACCGAGCGAGGACGCTGATGGGGTAGGCAAGATCGGGGCGAGTGGAAACCATGGCGTACATGAGAGAGCCGATGAGTTCCGGATAAGGATGGGAGGAGGGAGAGGGAGAGGAGGGTGGGGAGAGGTGGTGCCCAACCGAGAGGGGAGTGGGCTGGGGGTTGCCGCGCGCCATGTCAAACCGGTCCAAGACCTGCTGGAGGTAGTGACCCTGAGAGAGTGAGATGGTGCGGGCGGAGCGGTCGCGAGTGATGGTCATGCCGAGGTAGTTCTGCAGCTCTCCCAGGTCTTTGCACTTGAGACGGCTGCCCAGCTCCGCCTTGACAGTCTCGAGCTCGGCAAGGTCGGCGGTGAGGAGGATCATGTCGTCAACATAGACGAGGATGTAGAAGGGGGAGGGAGAGGTGCGGAGGAAGAGGCTGGCGTCAGAGCGGGAGGTGCGAAAGCCAAGCTCAGCAAGGGTGGCAGCAAGCTTGGCATGCCACTCCCTGGGTGCCTGACGGAGCCCGTACACGGGTCGGCGCAGCTGCCAGACGGAGTCGGCGGGGAAGGGGAGGTGGAAGCCGTCTGGGCGCTCCATGTAAATGAGTTCACGTAGTACGCCTTGCAGGAAGGCGTTGGAGACATCCATCGAGTGGATCTCCATGTTGAGGCGAGCGGCGAGGTCGAGTACAGCGCGAACGGTAGCAGGTTTGGCGGTGGGGGAGAAGGTGTCGAAGAAGTCAAAACCATACCGCTGCGTGAAGCCCTTGGCGCAATACCGGGCCTTGTAGACGGGCGGTTCTCCTGGTAGCTGTTTGACGCGAAACACCCACTTCCCCTTTACCACGTTCGTAGAGGAGGGAGGGCGAGGGACATCAACGAAGGAGGAGTTGGCGATAAATGCCTCGAGCTCCTTGATGATGGCGGCAAGCCAGAGCGGGGCGTCGGGGCAAGCCATGGCCTCCTCGTACGTGGTTGGGACGAAGATGGAGGGAGCAGAGGAAAAGGCGAAGACTGGTGTTCCAGACAGGTCAAAGGTGATGGGGAGGAGGGAGGGGTCGGAAAGGTGGAGGTCAAGGAACTCCTCATGGGAGTCCTCAGAGAGGGAGGTGTGGAAGGCGCGGATAACCGCTGGGGCCGCTGCTCGTGCCGCTGCTGGTGCCGCTGCTGGTGCCGCTGCTGGTGCTGCTGTGGAGGCCGCTGCTGCCGCTGCACTTGCCGCTGCTGGTGCCGCTGCTGCTACTGCACCTGCCGCTGCTGGTGCCGCTGCAATGGCTGCTGCTGGAGGTGCTGCTACCGAGGATGGGGAGGTGGTCGAGGAGGCTGGTGCAGGAGAGGCGTGGTGTAAGACAGCCTGGAAGAAGTGGTGAAGGAGGGGAGAAAGAGGGGGAAGGGAAGAGGTAGAGAGGGTAACAGGGGGCGGTGCACCAAGGATACTGTCACATGACCTGGTGTGAGGATACCGGGTGAGTATGGTGCGGGGAGTGGGGGAGGGAGGTGGTTGGGAGGGAGGGGGAGGGGCACCGGGGGAGGAGTGGGCGGGGGAGACAGGGGAAGATAGAGGGTCCGGGTCAAAGATGTCACCAGACGAGGGAGGGGCACCGTGGGACTGGGAGGGCGGAGGGGGAGGGGGTGGGAGGATGGGGGGAGGAGGGAGGAGAGGGGAGGGGTGGTGTCAGACCAGACAAGGGGACGAGTCAGAGGTGGGAGTGGGTCAGTGGACGGGGGAGAGGAATAGTACGGGGAAGACTCGTCAAAGACGACATCTCTGCTGCGAATTAGTCGACCGGAAGGGGGGTGGAGGAAAAGGTAGTCGGGGGAGGAGGGGTTATGACCAAGGAAGACGCAAGGAAGGGTACGAGGGGCAAGCTTTCCAAGGGAGCGGGATCGGTCAGACGGGTGAATGAGGACATAGGCCTTTGAGCCCCAGACTCAAAGGAGACATCGGGTTTGTCCTTTGTCCATAGCTCAGTGGGGGTGGTGGAGGGGAGGAGGGGGAGAGGGTAGAGGTTAGTAAGGAGGGCGGCATGAAGGAGGGCGTAGCCCCACAGAGAAGGGGGGCATGAGGCGTGGACAAGAAGACACCGAGCCGTTTTGGTGATCTCCCGAACACGGCTCTCAGCGACACCGTTCTGCTGTGGGGAGTGAGGGAGGGTGAGGGAGGGAGAATGCCGCGGGACTGGCAGTAGGAGGAAATTTGGGTATTAAGGAACTCACCACCACCATCAGAGTGGAGGCGACGAACAGGGCGGCCAAAGTGGGTGTTGGCTTGCTCGAGCCAAGCAATGATCGCGGTCGGGGCATCCGCCTTCGTCCGAAGGAGAGAGACGGACGAGTACCGACTGTGGTCATCGACGAGCACGAGGAGGTAGCGATGGCCTTGGCGAGTGGGGGAAGGGTTAGGGCCCCAGAGGTCCATGTGAACAAGATCAAGTGGCTGAGCAGCAGCGGAGGGGGAGCTCCGGTGCGGCTGCTGCTTGAGCTTGCTCTGAACACAGACGACGCAAGGGGGGGCAGGGGACTTTGGGAGGGGAGGGAGGGAAGAGGGGAGACCGTGGAGGAGACCGGAGGATACAGAGGAGCGCAGAGTGGCGAAGTTGGGGTGACCTAGCCTGTGATGGAGGAGGATGGCAGGGTGGGAGAGGGAGCGACATGAGCAGTCAGAGTCAGGGGGGCGGGGGGGGACGGGTGGGTCAGTGGAGGGGAGGGGAGGGGGGGGGGAAGAGGGGGGGGGGAGGCAACTTGGAAGGTGAGGGGGCGAGGAACTCGAAGGGTGTATAGACGGGTGCGGGGACAGTAAGGAATACGGGCGAGGAAACGACCTGTGGAGGTGTGGTAGAGATCACAATGGTTAGCACCACCTGGGGTGAGAGTGGTGATCATGGATTGTTGGAGGGACCTTTGGGAGAGGAGGTTGGTGCGAAGGGAGGGAATGTGAAGACCTGTGACAGTACCTGAGGGAAAGAGAGGACAGGGAAGGGTGGAGGTGTTGTGACAGGGGATGGAAAAGCTGCTATCAGCGCCAAGGAGGGACGTGGATGTGGGAAGAGGATTGAGTTTGCCGGCATCTCGAAAGACATTATCAGTGGCTCCACTGTCCAAGACGAACTCAAGGGTGGAGGAGGGTGAGGCGGAATACTGAATTGAGGTTTCATTAATAGCAGGGGCATACATAGGAGATGCAACAGAAGGAGGCTGACTAAGGAGACCAACAAAGCCAGAGGAGGGAAAGGGGGTCACACTGCCACCTGTGGACGGCGCAGGGGATGGACCGGAGAGGTGGGCCGCAGAGGCGGCATTTCCGGCGGTCCAGCTGGGAAACGGCTGCTGCTGGGGGACAGGAGGAGGAGGGAGGAGAGGAAGTTGGGGCTGGAGGTCGAGCTGCTGCTGGAGCTGCTGAAGCTGCTGCTGGAGCTGCTGAAGCTGCTGCTGGAGCTGCTGCCCATACTGCTGCGGTCCCTGCTGCTGGACACTCTGCTGCTGCTGCTGCTGCTGAGAGGGGAGAGCAAAGGCCTGGTGGGCCTGGGAGGAGGAGGAGGGGGCGTAGAGGGGAGAGGTGCGAACATCGAGGGGAGTGGGGCGGGGATTAAGGGCGGACCAGCGAGGAGGGGTGCCAGAGTTCCCACGAGCGAACCACTCATCGCTGAGTGCCTTGAAGCACGTGTCAGTTGCATGAGTGGTTTGGTTGCAGCGTTGGCCTCGGGTGGGGCCATAGAGGGGAAGATACTGACAGGGTGGGAAGGCCGCTGCTGCCCCACGACCCGCACCACCACGACCGCCAGAGCCGCCTCGACCACCACCACGCCCACCTCCACGCCCTCCCCCACGTCCGCCCTTGCCGCTGCGCTGCTGTGCTACCGCGGCAGTGGAGGAGGAGTGGCGAAGGATTTCAGCCTCAGTGGTGATAATCCACTGGGCAACTTGAGCGGGAGTGTCATGCTTGGAGAGGAGTTGCATGTATGCGAGCTTGTGGGCATCGAAGGCGGGAGTGAGGCCTTCGAGGAGGTGGCAGCAGATGACAGTGTCAGGGTAGGTAACGCCAAGTGCTGCAAGGCGGCGAGCAAGGTCAAGGACGCGGCGAGTAAAGGCGGCTGCGCCGGCAGTGGAATCCATGGTGATGGATCCAAATTCCTTGATGAGGGCATAGAGGGTGGCGATGTCCTGCCGGTCAAAGAGGTCGACAAGCAGTTGCCACAGGTGGGAGGAGGAGGTAGGTGAAAGCTCTCGTTTGAGGGAGGAGGGGATAGTGGCGAGGAGGATGGCGAGAGCTCGACGGTCAGCAATGCGCCACGCAGCGATGTCGGTGGTGTAGCTGGCGAGACGTGTAGTGTACGTGGCGAGTCGAGCTTGGTAATCGCGGTGGCGGGCAGCAGCCTCGTCGTAGGCGCGCTTGTCGTCCTCATAGCGCAGTTGACGGCGAAGGTGGTCGTTGAGTGCGGTGCGGTAGGTACGGATGGCAGTTTCCATGCTCTGAGGATTGTTGACATCCGGCGCGAAGGTGGGAGGATCACCAGGAGGCTCGGGCTCAGGTCCGGGCTCGTCAGGAGGAGGTCCGGTGGGGGCGGAAGGGGCGATGGGCTGGAGTCCGCCTTCCTCCTGGAACACGACGGAACGGAGGGTATATCCGCTGACGACAACCGAGGAGAGCAACACCTCGACGGAGTGGGCATAAGAGTGCCAGTTGGCGGCCGAGTTGTCGCCCAACAACTCGAGAGAGTCAATGGTCGCCAGGTCGACCGATGAGTCTGCGGACGCCATGATGGCGAAGTCGGGAAGGTGCCGCTGCTAGTGCCATTGAAGGTGCCGCTGCTGGTGCCGTTGAAGGTGCCGCTGCTGGTGCCGTTGAAGGTGCCGCTGCTGGTGCCGTTGAAGGTGCCGCTGCTGGTGCCGTAACAGGGTGGCGCTGCTGGTTTAGGGTTAAAGGTGCCGCTGCTAGGTGCTGTTGCTGGTGCGATTAAGGGTGAAGTAGGGGGGGGAGGAGGTAGGGGAGAGGGAGGATGGCGCGGAAGTGTGGGGCAGGGCGCGGATGAAAGGGGGGAGGTCGCGCAGGTCAGTCGCGGCGGCGCGTCGGCCGCCCGTGAGAGCGCGAGGGTCGGCCGCGTGCGGAGAGTCACCCTACAACGGGTGTGAACTACGAAGGAGGGCACGGAGTTGTGTGGGTGATCGCAGCGCTCTAGTAGCGTTCTAACAGAGTTCTCACTACTTGCTCTGTTCATAGAGAAATTTGGCAAGAATTTTCACTAAGGAAAAATGAAAGTACATTGAAAATTGAGAATTAGAGTACAAGAATGAGCATGCAAAGTGATATCTCTGGAATGGCATTGCAATCCCTAGCAAGCATTCTGCAAGGCGAATTGCCAGCACTGCATCAGAGCGGTTCGCCAACGCTGAAACAGAGCGGTCTGCCAGCGTAGCAGAAGGGCGACATGCCAGCGCTGCAGCAGGGCGGCCTGCCAGCGCTGCATTCGCAGGTGAATATCTGCGCAGGTGTGCACCTGCCGAGTAGGTGCAGGTAGACGGTTACACCGTCAGAGACATTGCGCAGGTGCCAGGTAGAAAACGCTCCGACGGTTTCCCCAGATGTCCGCCGTCGAGCACGTGATGCCATTTCGGAGGTCGAATTTCGCTACTAGCCTATGTATGTTGTATATATAAGATACATTTACAACAGTAATCCCACCTGATATGTGTGTCTGTGCCATCCGTCAACAGCCCATCCTTGTTCCGATTTTTGAGGCACCTCAAATGTCGCGCTATGCGACGTGACGTGTAAGTAACCCCACCTGATGTGTGCCATCCGTCAACAGCCCATCTTGTTCCGGCTGAAACAATCGGCCCGTGTGATGTGATGTGACCGTGCGACCGTGCGACCGTGCGACCGTGCGCGACCGTGCGCGACCGTGCGCGACCATGCGACCGTGCGACCGTGCGACCGTGCGACCGTGTGACCGTGTGAGTCGGAAAGTGCTAAAGATGAGCGAGCATGCGAGAACATGAGTTGCGATGCGACATCACCTGATGTGATGTGACATGAAAGGTGCTCACCTACCCCCAACCCCAACCCCAACCCCAACCCCAACCCCAACCCCAACCCCAACCACAACCACAGCCCAAACCATTCTTCAGTTTATTCCCTTCCTGACCAAAGCCATTCAGACCTTGTTCTGGCTGAAAAATTCGGCCTGGGTGAGCCCGTAGGTGTTGAGGATGAGCGGGCATGTGAGGCCATAGGGTGACAAGAACGTGGGAACCCGAATTTCAATCCGTCGCACTGCATACATGGGGTGGGCATGCACGGGTAAGCATGCATGGGGTAAGCACGCATGGGTTGAGCATGCACGGTGTAAGCATGGATGGGGTAAGCATGCATGGGGTAAGCATGGATGGGGTAAGCATGGATGGGGTAAGCATGGATGGGGTAAGCATGAGGCAAGCATGTCATTGCAAGCAGCAAACAAGGGACGTTTGAGTTTACTTCGTTGCAAGAGCAAGAAATATAAGATACACAAACGGGTGGCATGGGAAGCAACGGTTATGAGCCTTGAGACGAGTCGGAAGTCAATGTTATTAGATGAGGCATGATGACAAGTGCTATCACATGCGCCATGATGACAAGTGCTATCACATGAACTATGATGACAAGCGCTATCAAATGACAAGGTGAACAGAACGAGCGCGGATGTGAGAGAGGTGAGGGGGTGTGAGAGAGGGGCATTTGAGAGAAGTGAGAGGTGTGAGAATGTTGCACACAGGTAGTAAGCGAGCAAGCAAGGGCAAGTGTTACCTACAGAGGTAACAGCGGGCAGTGCCTTTGGTGGGAAAGATCAAGGGGAAGAAGGGCGAGGGGCAGAGGCAGGAGTATGTGCCGTCTATGCCATCAATGCACACCCCCGGGGCACATGGGTTGCGGGGGAACTGGCGACAAGTGGAGGAGTCTGGAGAGGGGACGGGGGGGAATATTAGAGTGAAGAGGAGGAGAAGCAAAAGGAGGTGAAATATTAGAGTGAAAAGGAAGCAGCAGTGAGCAGCACACCATCGGTGCACACACACACACCCCTGGGCCCCGGGGCACAGGGGTTGCGGGGGAACTGGCGACACATGAAGGAGTCTGGAGAGGGGACGGGGGGGAAAAGAGGACAGGTGGACTTTTGGGGCGCCTCAAAAGAACTGGCGACACATGAATGAATCTGGAGAGGGGACGGGACGGGGGGAAAAGAGGACAGGTGGAAAGGCGGGGGAAGGCGAAAGGAGGGGGAAGAAGAGAAAGAAGTGTTGCAGGAGCAGAAATATATGCACTGGAGTGCATGTTCTTAACTAAAATACGACCAGCCATCATATTAGCAAACAAATGATTATCTAAGCTAAATTAATTCCAAAAGAACTAAATAGGGAGCTAAAGGTGAAGGCACTCCTTGAGGCAACAAGAAACTAAAAAGGGTAGCTTGAGTGAAAATTTCTCAAAATTGGAGCGTATGCACTTTGGATTTTCTTAAATGTCGTCCACAAACAAAACAAAAGGGCACCTACCGCCCTTCACCACTTGCGTACCGCACTCCACCTCTTGCCGACCGCACTCCACCTCTTGCCGGCTGCACTCCACCTTTTGCCTACCGTATTCCACCACTGGCCCTCCGCACTCCACCCTTACCTACCACACTCCACCACTTACCTACCGCACTACGTCTCACCAGGGAAGCAGGATGGCAGGCCAGAGAGGTGGGAGGGTTGAAAGGAGGGGAGATTGAAGGGGCACTTGCAGGAGGGCATGAGGATAGACGGGTCCCATGGGGCAGGTGCCTTGGTGCATGCACCCATGCCACAGGGGAGCACTGGAGAACCCTTGCAGGGGTCGGTGTCTGTCCATGGGGAGGGAGGGAAGGATGGGATTGAGGAGTGGGAAAGAGGGTGTGTGTGTGACCAGAGAAGGTAAGAGTCCCTGTAAGGGAAGAGTCCCTGTGGGTGCTTTGAAGTTTGAAGGTTTGAAGTATGCGTTGTGCTGCAGAGGACACTTGGGGGTGCACGGGGGTGCAAGGGGGTGCATCGGGGTGCGTGGGGTTACAAGAAACAAGAATCCTCTTTCTCCCCTTCTTCGTTATCTGTGAAGGCGGAAAGTACAGGAGGAGGAGGACGACGACATGGAAAGGCACGTGGTTTGCTATGCCTCCTCCCTTCCCTCCCCACCATTCTCACCCCCCTTTTCCCCCCTCCTCTTCTCCCCTTCCCCCTACCTGCGAATCGGAACCTGCGATCCGGTGCGACCCGAAATGGTTCAAGGTCGGTTCCAGCGTAACCCTACATTTCCCCCCCTTCCCCCTCTCTCCCCCTCTCTCCCCATTCCCTACCCCCCCGGTCCCACTCAAGGTCCAGGAGGAGAGGGTGACAAGGGCAGGGCAAGAGGCATGCTACCCCTTTTCTCTTTCCCTCCCCCCCATCTCGCCCACGCCTCCCCCCTACCTGTGAATCGGAAGGTCCAAGAGGAGAGGGCGACGGGGGAAGGCAGGCGGCCAGGAGGGGGAGGGAGAGCAGCGCTGGTGAACCCAACGAACAGATGCCCAAAGGATGGCGACGATAGGTCCGTTGCACTGCTGCTGCTGCTGCTGCTGCTGCTGCGGCTGCTGCTGCTGCTGCTGCTGTCACCGCTGCCACCACCGCTGCTGCCACTGCTGCTGCCACCAGTGCTGCTGCTGTTGCCCCCGCTGCCACTGCTGCTTTCGCTGGAGTCAGTAACCCTAGTGAGAGCAGCACACAGGTCAATGGTGACCCTCAATCGGGTTTTTAGAAGAGCAGGGCGGTACAATCTCATCACCATCTCCTTGCTGCTCCCGTTATAGTCAACCCTCATCTGCCAAACCTCTTCAGACTCCATAACATCCAACACCTTCTTAGTGATAACCGACGTCATGTTGAAATCGTGTTTACGCCGATATGTATATCATTTACATCGCCCATTTCCGGGTTTGCTACAGTATCCCATTCCACTGCTACACTCCGCGCGCCGTCCGGCCAGCTGCCATTAGCGAGTCGCGAGGATGGGTCCCGGCCGTACCCCATATAAGCCCCGCCCAGGCCCAGGGTCGCATGTGTGCTTATAACGAACGCGAGCCCATGAGTAGCGGATTTATTTATGGAAAAGCCGTATGTGAAGGTGAACGAGCGAGCCATGCAGATTGGGGGTTCGGTTGCTGTGGGCTGGGGAGGTGAGGAGGAGGAAGGGGAGGAGCGGGGTGAGCTTTTGCGCGCACGAGGAAAGGGAGGAGGAGGGAAGGGAGGCGAGGAGGAAGAGAAGAGGAGGGGGAGCCGGCGAGGGAAGTACATGGCTCCGGGAGAGGGTTCGTTTGACTGGCTGGTTGATGCCACGTCAGCATCGACGGAGAGATCGGCGGCAAAGAAACGCTTCCTGGTGCTGCCACGTGTCAGCAGGGGAGTAGCCGGCGTGATGTAGGGGAAGGAGAACGAGACTGCCGCCCAAAACGGAAGCGGATCCTCCGCTGCTGGGGTGAGTGAAAGAGGGGGAGGGCAGGGGAGGAGGCGGGGGAAGGAGAAGGTTGGGTGAAAAGTGTGAAGTGAACCAATTCATGCTAGGTGATGGGTTGAAGGGGCATTAAAAGGACGCCAGTCAGGTGTCTGATCCCTCCATTTGCCTGCCTGCCTGCCTGCGTCCCCAGAGTGTTGCAGGTCTACTACAATACAACAGGCCTGGGGATGACACTTAAACTCAACTCACTATTCCCGGAGTCAAACTCACCATTCCACGAGGTGACTTTTGAGTCGACTCAGAACGAGGTGACTGTTGAGTCAACTAAGAACGGGGTGACTTCTGAGTCAACTAAGAACGGGGTGACTTTTGAGTCAACTAAGAACGAGGTGACTTTTGAGTCAACTAAGAACGAGGTGACTTCTGAATTGACTCAGAACGATGTGAATTTTAAGTTGGCTCAAACCGAGGTGAATTTTGAGTCAGCTCAGAACGATGTGAATTTTGAGTCGACTCAAAACGAGACTCAGAACGAGGTGGAGTCGATTCAAAATGAAGAAACTTTTGAGTCGACTCAGAAGGTGACTTCTGAGTCGACACAAAATGAGGTGACTTTTGAGTCGACACAGAATGAGGTGACTTATGAGTCGACTCAGAATGAGGTCACTTTTGATTCGACTTGATTGAAACGAGGTCACTATAAGACAACTCATAACTCAGCTCATCACCCCCGGAGTCAAACTTCCATCCCAGCCCATCATGTGGGTACTAAACACTGCCGATTGCTAATACAGGGCATAATATACACATCACTAATAGTCACTAGCCCCGGGTGGGCCAATTGCAAGTCTTGGGAAACACGAACTGATCCTATAGAACAATAAGAACAAGGATGAGGGCACTCCAACTCACCCTCCCCCATTTGGAACGTCCACCCCAGCACCTCGTGCGCCTGAGCCTGCTCCGCCCCCTTGCCCGTGGCTGCTGTGAATCCCACAAACAGCGGCGGGGGGGGCGCTGCTGCCTGCGGGTCGTTCCCCCCCAGCCACTCGCAGGTGTCCAGGAATGTGCTGAGCACGGCCGAGCGCGGGAGAGGGGGGGCGGAGGGGGAAGAGGAGGAGGAAGAGGAGGAGGAAGAGGAGGAGGAAGAGGAGGAGGAAGAGGAGGAGGAAGAAGAGGAAGAGGAGGTGCGAGATGACCGAGGGAAGCCAGGGAAACCAGGAAAACGAGGGGAGGAGCGAGAGGGGGATGGGGAACGGGAGGAGGAAGGGGCGGGGGAGAGCCAGACAGTGAGTTGGGAGGAGGAGGCATTGTATTGGATGGTGGCGAGGAGGGTCTGACCAGCGTTGAGGGAGGGAATGCCGACGGGGTGCACGGAGGCAGAGGCGAGAGAGAGCATGCTGCCGTGCAGGTTCACCCCCACGTGGTGGTCGGGGCGGTCGAAGAACTCGGGAGAATAGGACGTGTCGAATTCCACTGCCAGGCTCCGCTGCTGCTGTGGATAGCGCGTGTGGGAGGGGGGGAGTAGCAGCAAATAAGCAAAACAGCAGTGCGGCAGAGTAGGAGAGTGAGAAATACAAGATAAACAAAGTAAGTCAGGCGGAGGAGACGCGATAAAGAAGCCCGCAGACAAGAGACGGACAGCGAGAGATGACACGTAGCTGAGATGACATGACACGTACCTGAGGTGACACGTACGTACCTCAGAAGACACGTAACTGAGATGACACGTACTTGAGATGACACGAACCTGAGATGACACGTCACTAAAATTATCAGCACCGGTCGTGCTACCGGGTGGCAGCAGCACGCGGCCGTAGCCCAGGGAGGGCCCCGGCAGGCCGAGCGTGGGAGACGGCAGCATCACAAACGCGCAGCCCTCGCCGCCCAGCCCGGCAGCGTTGGGGGAGGAGATGCGGAAGGCGAAGGAGGTGGAGAAGGAGAAGGGGCGGCAGGGGGAGGCGGGCGTGGCGGGGGCGAGCAGGGCGAAGGGGGCGGGGTGCAGTGCGAGAGCAGCAGAGTTGAGGTCGGAGAGCGAGGTGAGGGCCAGGGAGGCACGGTTGCGGCGAGCTGAGCCGGCTGTGAGGAGCGGGTGGGCGCAGGAGAGCGGCCAGTGAGAGAAGGACTTGAGCGGGGAAGGGTCGGCTGCAGGGCAGTGGGGGGAATGGGGAGTGGGGGGAAGGGCAGCGGGGGGGAGAGGAGCAGATGGGGAGGGGAATGGGGGCAATGCGTGACTTTGGGTGCTGGAGAGCAGCCAGTGGGACAAGGACTTGAAAGACTTTTGAGAATTCTCAAAAGTGATTTAAATATAGCCGGGTGCTGGAGAGCAGCCAGTGGGACAAGGACTTGAAAAAGGATGGGCCGGCTGCACGGCAGTGGGCTGGGGGGAATGGGGGATGGGGGGGAGGAGGGATGGGAGCGGGAGGGGGGAGGGGGGTTGAGGAGGGGAATGGGGGGAGGGAGCAGGAGTGAAATGAGGGATCGATTATTCACAAGAGTAAAGAGGTTAGAACCTGGATGTTGAGCATGTGTGGAGCCTATGTGTGTGTGCCGCCCATGTGTGTGTGCCGCCCATGTGTGCCGCCCACGCGTGCCGCCGCCCATGTGTGCCGCCCACGCGTGCCGCCCACGCGTGCCACCCATTTGTGCCGCCCATGTGTGCGGCACATGCTTTCTGCCATACCTGTAATGTGACACACACAAACCTGTGACCCAGCCAACCACTTGTGCGTCAGTGACTCACTGCCAGCAGGAATGACAGACACAAGGTCCATAGCCGTGGTCCCCGCTTCCGATGCCACCCCCTCTCCCTTCACCATCGTCGCCTCCACTCTCGCGTTCACTCCCGCGTCTCCTCCTCCTCCCGTACTCGCAGCGACAGTGGATGCTGCTGCTGCCGGCCTAGCTACCACATCCCCCGCTGCTGCTGTTGCGGTCGCTGCACAAGCTGCTTGCACGGTCGGTGCTGCTGCCGTCGGTCGTTCCCCCACCACACCCTCCACTGCTGCTGTCTCAGTTTGCGATACAGGCGACGCATCCCCTGCTGCAATCCCGCCAGCTGCTTGCACTGCGGGTGCGGCTGCTGCTGCTGCCCCTGCTGCTGCTGCTGCCCCTGCTCCTGCTCCTGCTGCTCTCGCCAGCCTAAAGCTCCGGAACTCAAGTGGTCCCCAGACCCGTCTGTGTATGGAGAGAGGTAGTTTGGGGAACCGGATTTGCCTTGCCAGGGCGGATGCAGCGCGGGCAAGGTGGGGATGAGCAGCGGATCTAATTAGGAGGCCCAAGGAGGAGATGGTAAAGCCGCTGCCACCCCTGCTGTCAACAACGGTGCTGCTGCTGCTGCTGGTTGTGCCTGCGCTGGTGGCTTTGATGCTACTGCTGTCACTGCTGCTGCTGGCAACCACGCAGCCAGTGGCGGAGGCAACAGCGCTGGCGGTGGCGATTGTGGCAGAGCTGCTGCTGGTGTTGCTGGTGTTGCTGCTGCTGCTGCTGCTGCTGCTGGTACTGCTGCTGCTGCTGGTGCTGCTGCTGCTGCTGGTACTGCTGCTGCTGCTGCTGCCTTGCACGCCTCGAATCACCAAGTGCAGCACCACTCCCCCTGGAGGCACTACCAACGAGGAAGAGGAAGAGGCGGAGGAAGAGGAGGAGGTGGAGGAAGAGGGGGAGGAATCCGGGGGGTGAGGGAGGGGGAAGAGGAGGGGTCCCACGTGGAACCAAGGCAAGGCGCCGGACAAACTCGCAATGCTCCCCCCGCATGGCACGCCCACCCGCCACTCCCCCCCCACCTGCTCCCCCGCGCCTCCTTCCCCCGCCCCTTCCCCAGCTGCTGCCGCTCCCCCTGCCGCGGAGGCGGCGGAAGCGTTCAGCGGAACTGCCATCAGCAGCACCTTCAACAGCCGCTCCGCCTCCCCTTCCGCGCCACCTTCCCCCTCCGCGCACAGGCTGGCGCGCGCAACGAACGAGAGCGACAGCAGGCGCGGGGACTGCTGCTGCTGCGCCTGCTGCGACACGTTGCTCGTCGGCGCCACGGGTTTGATTGCGCACAGCGCTTGCGATACGCCTGGGCCGTCAAACGCGCTACTGCTATTGCTACCACCGGAACTGTCGTTGCTACTAGGCGACGCGGAAAAGGCGGAAGTCAGCCGTACAAAGCGGGACCCATCAGCTGCTAGCAGGGTGTCCGTGACTCCCGTGACCCCGTTCGCTATTGACACGTCAGCAGGCGACGCCGCTCCTCCTGCTGTCGCGACCGCAGCTTCCGCCAGCGTCGCGCCCGCCAGCGCAAGCAGTGGTCCGCGGTTTCCGCCGCCAGACGCGGTGGCTAAGAACTCGTCGCTTAAGATTGTTTCCCCAGGTTCCAGCGCGCGCCACGGGAATAAGTACGGCCATGGATCGCACGACGCGTTTAGCTTCTTGCGACGCCATCCTGTATCGAGACAGCTTGTATCGAAGCTTGGGCTCGAGAGGAGGTTTGACGATTCGTCTGTGACGGCCAAAGAAGAGGGGATATAACGGGAAAGAATTGGAGATTTACAGGGTAATTAAGCATGTAGCAACGAAATTTTGAGAGATGCTGCTGTGCCAGGACCGGAAAGGGATTTACGTAGGGCTGAGGAAGAAGGAGTGGGCACCATGAAGGAATATTATGGAGAGCACTACGACGGCGAGAGAGATTCTGCTTATGGGAATGATGTTGCGCTAGGAATTCGGTAGCGTTTGGGTAGCGTTGGTCTCAAATGACTAAGTGAGAATTTGAGTAGAGATTGGACTTCACTAGGAAAATAGAATATATGAAACACACAAGCAAACACAAACATATAAAGGCAAGCAAGCGTTCACAAAAGGTAGCGAGGGCGCTGCGAGTAACCCAACCCACACGAAAGTGCTGTGGGAGTTGGCGAACGCGCCCCGCCAAACTTCCATCCAACTCAGCAGCGAAAACCTTCCGAGCACGCAACTCCATCCGACTCAGCTTGGGAGTGGCGTGCCTCATAAGGAAGCACACAAAGACTCCCACGACTCTACTTCCCAGCACCGACTTCAGCAGATTCCTTACTGCAGCTCGCATTCACCCGTAGTCACACTTGACTGCCATCGAACCTGTGCGACGGTGCCGAGTAGACCAGGTCGTCGGTCGTCAACCTGCCAAGTCTAACATTTCGCGAGGGCCCTTGCTGTCGTAGGGCCCTCTAACACTCCCCTGCCATACTACAGCAAGGCCCTTTATAATCACAGGGCATGCATAAACACATACACACCAAACAAAGGGAAACACACACAAACGAAGCACTCTCAAAGTGCAAACACGCACCGCACCAGCCATGGATAGGCCATGGCACCATCCACATCACGGAGTGTCTAGGTCTCACTCCCCTCGCTCGAGAGCCTCACCTGCCCCACAGCCTCGAAGCAACGACTGAAGGCGGGGAAATGCAATGCCTTGGTAAGGTAGTCAGCAGGCTGCTCGCTCGTAGGGATGTACTGCAGCTGCAGCTTCCTGCGCTTGACCATGTGCTGCAGCCACATGTGACGACGCTCCATGTGCTTGAGGCTCCCCTTGAGCCCCATGCCACCTGCCACTGAAATGGCGGAGGAGTTGTCCACAAAGAGAGTAGTGGGAACCTCACTCCTCAGCAGTTGAAACTCTGCCAGCAGGAAGCGCAGCCGACGCGCCTCCTTCCCCGCCTCCACAGCAGCAACGTACTCAGACTCAGTGGAAGAGAGGGTGGCGCAACGAATCCTCTGGCTCGCCCACGAGACAGCAGCACCTCCGAGCACGAAGACATAGCCACCAGTGCTAGTCCTGTTCTGCTTGTCTCCCGCATCATCCGCATCGGCATAGCCCACCAGCTCCAAGGACTCAGGCCCACCACCAAACTCCAGCGCAACATCCCTGCTCCCCACCAAGTACGCCAAGCACCGGTCCAACTCCTTCCAGTGCTGGTCACTCCGCACAGTCTGGCCTGACCCCAGCTTGCTGCAGGCAAAGGAGATGTCGGGACGAGTGGTACAGGCTGCGAACTGCAAGGATCCCACCTTCTGCCTGTACTCCTCCTCCTGGCGAGACTGCCATCCCGCATCCTCAAAGGTCTGCACACTGAAAGGGTCAGAGGAAAGGGGGGTGCGAGGCACTCGCAGCGGCTGCTCCCCGTCGAAGAAGCGCCTATGGACCTTGTCCACGTAGGCCCCCTGGTGCAGCCACAGCCTCCTCGTAGGCCTGTCCCGAATCAGCTGCAGCCCCAGGTACTTCTCCACAGGGCTAATCTCCCGCAGCTGAAACGCACTCTGCAGCAGCTCACGTAGCTCCCCCAGCATGCTCTGACTGCGGCTGGCAGCAAGCAAATCATCCACATACACCAGCAGCCAGCACATCTCCCCGTCAGCATCACTCTTGAAGTACAAAGCCTCATCCACTTTGCTCTTCTTCCATCCAGCCCCAAGCAGCACCCCATCCAAGGCCTCATACCACAGCATCGGGCTTTGCTTGAGGCCATACAGACTCTTCAACAACTTACAGACACGAGGAGTCCCATCCTCGTAGTAGCTCGGCTGCTCCATGTACAGGTCTCGGTCCAGCACGCCATGGAGGAACGCATTCTTCACATCTAGCTGCATCAGCTCCAAGTCAAGTGCAGCTGCGATCGCCAGAAGTACGCGCGCCGTCACATAGCTTCCCACGGGGGCGTACGTCTCCTCATAGTCCACCCCTGCCACCTGCGTGAACCCCTTCACCACCAGCCGCGCCTTCTCACGCTCCACTACCCCATCAGGTCGGAACTTGGTGTTCAGGATCCAGCGGTTCTTCATCACATTCACCCCTGGCGGACGCGGAACCAACTCCCACGTCCCCTGCTCAATCAAGCTCCGCATCTCCTCATCCATCGCCTCCTTCACCTTGTCGCCCTTCCAGCAGCCCAAGGCCTCCTTCACTGTCATCTTCGCTATATCCCACTGCCTCTCAGGGTCAGCCACCACGTCAGGGTCCAGGTCCGTCCACTCTTCGTCCTCCTCCTCGTCATCCAATCCCGCCGGCTCAATCACTAAAGCCCAAGCATACTTAAGAGGCGGGATACCACGGGTGATGCGAGTGGAGCGACGCAGTGGCGCAGTGATCGTCCCAGAAGCCAACACACGACCACCATCTCTGATTCCCCACAGCTCCTGCTCCCCTGTCTGCGGCTCCCCTGTCTGCTGCTCCCCTAGCTGCTGGTCCACCATCTGCTGCTCCTCAATCTGTTCCTCCCCTATCTGCTGCTCCCCACTCTGCTGCTCCCCTAACTGCTGCTCCCCTATCTCCTGCCCCCCACTCTGCTGTACTCCATCCATGCTGCTCTCGTCCTGCAGCTGCTCAGTCTCAAGGCGCTGCCCGTCGGTGATCTCCACAGACGGTGGCACCACGATCCCCCCCTCACCAACGGGCGGCGCCGTGGAAGATGAAGAGGAGGGTGGAGCAGGTGCAGGAGGGATGGAGGGTGGAAGGGGAGAGGGAATAACAGGAGGAGGAGGGGAAGCCAAGGGGGGTGAGGATGAAGAAGGTGGGGCAGGGGGAACCACACGAGGGTAAACTGAAGGCGGAGGTGGGGTGGGGACCGAGGTAGGGACATAGGGCATAGCAGGAGGTGCGACCACCTCCTCCTCCTCCACCGCCTCCTCAAGAGTGATCGGGAAGTGAGAGGGAAGGGGCTCATAGGGCATTGGACGCCCCCCATGCTCTTGCCGATGCCACGCCTTCCATCCTGCCAAGGACATGGTCTCATAGAACACAGCTTCCACAGTGGTGATGAGGCGGTTGGACTCCAAGTCCAGCACGGTCCAGCCCTTGCTCGCTGCGGACACCCCCAAGTGCAACCCCCAGCGAGCCTTAGGTGCCAGCTTCCCCCCCCGCTGCGACTGAGGCAACATGTACTGCACCATGCAGCCCCATACCCGCACCATACTGACATCGGGTTTGTGTCGAAAGGCGAGCTCGTACGGCGTCACACCAGAGGGCAGCGAGGCGTGCTCCACGCGGTTGCGCACCCAGACGGCCTGCGCCAACGCCAGGTGCCACCAATGATGCTGTACACCCATGTGCAGTAGCATCGTCCGCACCGCCTCCACAATGCTGCGCATCTCCCTCTCGGCCATCCCGTTCTGCTCCGGCGTGTACGGGCACGTGAGGTCATGGATGATGCCTTTGCCGTCGAGGAAGAGCGTGAAGTCATGCCCCAGGAACTCGCCACCCCGATCAGTGCGCAGCGCCTGCACCGTGGTCTTGCACTGCCGCTCTGCCATCGGGAGCCACTTCTGAAACGCCGCCAGCGCATCACTCTTCTGAGCCAAAGGGTAGGCCCAGACGTACCGCGACTTGCGATCCTTCAGCACCAGGAAGTAGCGGCTGCCGTCCTTAGCTGTTTCACGGAAAGGGCCACACAGGTCAGCATGCACCACCCCAAGCAACTCATCCTCCTCCGCACCCACTGGCGGGAAGGTATGACGAGTGATCTTCCCCCCAACACAGGAGACACACGGTATGCCTGATTTGCCCCCCTTCTCCAGGTCCAAGCCCTTCACTGACCCGTGAGACGCAGTGCGCTCGATGGCATCAATACCAACGTGTGCCATACGCGCATGCCACATGTCCACCTTAGACCGCACGCCCGTCGTCAAGGTACGAAGTGCCACCGTTTCGCCTTCCTGCTGCTGCGACAAACACGGTTGGAAGTTCGTGCAGAGAACACGCCCCTTGTACTCTGCACGCCCAAGAAGTGACCCATCTGGTGCCCGCAGCAGAGTCACGTCGCCTGCATCCAGCAGTTGCACACCACTATCACGCAGCTGCCCAGCAGAAAGAAGACTCGCCTGCACTCCAGGTACGTACAGCACGTCAGACACCAAGAGACGCCTGCCCCCTTCTCCAAGAAGAGCGACTGTGCCTCGCCCCTGCACGTCCTGAAGCGCGCCGTTGAAGCCTTTCACTTGTTTGATACTACCGCCGCTGCTCATCTCCACAAAGGCAGAACGATCTCCCATGAGATGGTGGGAGCATCCACTATCAAGTAGCACGACGCTCGGGTTCGCCTTCACAGCAGCTGCAAGAGCCTGTAAGCCCTCCCCGGCCTCAGGCTCCAGCACGACAAGAGGAGTCTGCTCTACAACGGGCTTCACCATCGCACATGATGACTGCCTGCTCCCCTTAGAGCCATCGTCCCCCTTGCCACTCGCGCCGCTGCCTCCAGAACCCTCTCCACCCGTGTCTGCCTCCTTATCTGCCCGCTGCTGACAGTACTTAGCAACATGCCCTGTCTGTCCACACACGTAGCACTTCCCCTTGAAGCCACCTTTCCCCCCCTTTGGCGGACCATCCTTAGCCCCTTTCCACTTCTCTCCTCCACCTCCAACCCCACCCCCAGTCTTAGGCTGCTGCTGCTGTGCCGTAGTGGGAGGGGAAGGGGATGAAGTCTGCTGGGATTGGGGCTTACCCTTCTTGGTAAAGACCTGGTTGGCCTGGGGAAGAAATTGGTCCTTCCGTCCCTCCGCTGCCAGCGTACACTCCTCCTCGATAATGTAGCTAGCGAGGGTGTCCTCGTCCAACTCCTTGCGTACCTGCGGCAGCTTCAGCATCCTGCGTAAGAGGTTGTACTGCTGCGGCAACCCCTTCACGACGTGAGTAATGTACGACGCCTGCGAGTAATCGACGCCGGCCATCCTCAGGTTCACTAGGATCTGCTGCGCACGGTTGCAATAGGACGTAGCGGACTCGTGCTCACCCATCTCGAGGTTAGTGAGCGCCTGCTCTAACTGACCGATGTACAGATCGTCCTTCGCCATGTACGTGCGCATAATAAACTGCCATGCCTGATAGCCGGCATCTACCTTCATGCGACACCCCTTAAGGGCAATCTGTACGGTTGGGGAGCAGCATCGGGAAATCGTGGTGAACGTCAGTAACTGCATTGCGCGGAACTGAGTGAGATGCGCAACTGCCTGCGTTGGTGGAATAGGAGTGGTACCGTCAATGAATCGCTTTAGTTGAGCGATCTCAAGCTGCGGCTCGATCGATTCTACCCACGTCGATAGGTCGTGGCGTCCTTCGAGCGGCTTAGGCACGACGATTCTGTCTGGAGTGAATTTGAAGTAGCCATAGTTGGGGGCTATTCCCTCATCCCTCGACATCGATCCAATCGGGGTAATGCCCGGCATAGCTCCACTATCGTACTCCTCCGCATTCCCTCCTCCAGCAGCGCTCTGTCGTCCTAAGTTCGTACGCTCGTGTGACGCCGCCGCACGATGAACACGCTCCTGTACACCGCCGACGCTAGTCGTACTAAACCGAGTTGGTCCTCGCAGGACCCCACGCGACATCAACCCATCAACCTCCTCGTCATCGTCACCTCCGTCATTGACAGCCATGTCCCACGCACTAGTGCCTCCCGCAGCTTGCTCTACATGTGGCGAGGGATGATCGCGACGCTGACGAGAGCGTAATCCCTCCAACATGAGCTCGTAATCTACATTACTAAGCTCGCCACGGGAACGACGTGCCACGAGCTCCTCCTCTAGTGCGCGAAAATTAACGGCCTCAACGTCCGCCTCCTCCGAACTCATCCTCTACGACGCCTCGATAAGGTGCCACAAATTAAAATAAATTGTTCCTTCCTTAAATCCCTCGTCTCGGGGTCACCTCACAAGGGTCCTCAGACGAGTGGTAATAAATTACCAAACGCCCTATCCTTGGGTCCGAGAACGTAACTGGAGGGAAATTAAGAGAGGTTCAACTTAATTTAATATGCGCCCTTCACTAACGCCGCACGCCAAGGCGAGTATACGAACGTCACTATAATCGACGACGGAAATCTATGCGTGTTCGTTCCACGCTCACCGCACCATGAAGGAATATTATGGAGAGCACTACGACGGCGAGAGAGATTCTGCTTATGGGAATGATGTTGCGCTAGGAATTCGGTAGCGTTTGGGTAGCGTTGGTCTCAAATGACTAAGTGAGAATTTGAGTAGAGATTGGACTTCACTAGGAAAATAGAATATATGAAACACACAAGCAAACACAAACATATAAAGGCAAGCAAGCGTTCACAAAAGGTAGCGAGGGCGCTGCGAGTAACCCAACCCACACGAAAGTGCTGTGGGAGTTGGCGAACGCGCCCCGCCAAACTTCCATCCAACTCAGCAGCGAAAACCTTCCGAGCACGCAACTCCATCCGACTCAGCTTGGGAGTGGCGTGCCTCATAAGGAAGCACACAAAGACTCCCACGACTCTACTTCCCAGCACCGACTTCAGCAGATTCCTTACTGCAGCTCGCATTCACCCGTAGTCACACTTGACTGCCATCGAACCTGTGCGACGGTGCCGAGTAGACCAGGTCGTCGGTCGTCAACCTGCCAAGTCTAACATTTCGCGAGGGCCCTTGCTGTCGTAGGGCCCTCTAACAGGAGACACCGTTGGCTGTAGGCGAGAGGAATGCGTAAAATGCGGAAGCCTAAACACGCCAGTGGGAGAAGGACGAATGCTGATTATATGGAGAATTGTCACAACTAAGGTCTGGTTACAACTCGACTACTTGGTACGATAGCAGCGAAATCGCTAACGGTGGGGTTTCCGAGAACAGGAGAAGCGGAGCCTCTTACTTGGGTTCGTTAGGTTATGGCAGTCGACGAGGCCGTCAGCGAAATGAACAAAGGCTACGAGATAGAGTAGAAACGTAACCCATCGGAATTTCGCGTCACAGAGAAGACTCGTGGCCCCTGGTTGAACCCGCAATCTGCGGCGAGAGATGCGGAAGTAATTCATATGCTCCGACACCGTCTCGGAATTAAAATTCTTAAAAAAAAAAACTGCGCTCTGCGATCGATTGCATTCAGAAAGCGGCTTCGGACGTTTAGGAGCAAATTCTGGACTGCCACTGCCATCCCGAGTCGGCTTGTCGCGGCGAGCGCTTGGGACTGCTGCAGGAGAAGGCATGGTGATGACCACATCTGCAAGTTGAGGTGTTTTGTTAGTCTGTTTTTTTTGTCGTTTGAATACGGTTCAACGAGATTCTTCACGTTTCACAGTGGTCGATTCAATGTTTAGATTGGTCGGGATGGATATTGAGCAATCGTGAACTGGAAAATTACCCGCGTTTGGGCATGGATGTGCTGGGTGGGAGGGAGTACAGTCGGTGCTCATTACAAGAACACCAGGTAGGCGGGTGGCAACGGACTGAAACTAGTTTTGGGA